TATCATACTTTTTGATCGAATATCAGACATACCATGAAGGGCCATAGAGACTGAGGTAAATAGTGTTCGTGCCTGGAAATGGGTGTACTTCTTCTATCAGGCCATTAGTGTGGGGAGCAGAGCCAGGTAATGCAAGAGTTGACCTAGGCTGGAGTTTTCTAATGACTAATGTGACCTTCTGTGCATCAGTGACTTAAAGTTCCTCTAGCAGTGGGCTGCTCTTACCTCGTGCTTGGTGTTGGTGCTGATCACCAGAGGGTTTTGCTCACTGAGTTTTTCCCATTTACCTTTCAGCCATGTCTGCATGCCTGTATCATATAGGGGCGTATCTTCTCCATGTCCTTACCTCTCCCTCAGCCATTTCGTGCTCCTGCTTATTACTTGGTGCTAGGCTCATGGTGGGGGACAGCTGGGAGCACACTGTTGTCTTAGTCCAGCCTCAGTCATACTAATAGGTAGGCCTTGTGTGCCTGGGCCTCAGGAATGGGACTTTTTAGTACTCCTTCTCCTCCTTCCCGCCATACTTAGTGTCTGTATGAGATCATCAGCCCAAGATGATTTTCTGGCCCTCTAAGGAAGACGTTTTAGTTTCTTCCACTTCCCCAACAGCAATGAATCTTTGCCTGTGTTCCTGCAAGTGATTTCCTACACTTCCCCCTGAGACCTACTGCTTTTACCTCTGCCCCTTCCCCAAAGGCAGTGGATATTTGCTGCTGTCCCGTGGGCAAGCAAGTTTTCTGTTCTTCCCTTAGCAATTGAAAAGCTTTTGCTTCACAAGAGAGAGGCATGCAGGGAAGCATGTAGGACTTTTTGCCTGTCCCCAGCAGCCACCAAAGTGGACTCTGTGCGTTCTCCTGCCCTGCTCCCCGTCTGTCTCACGAGCACCTGGTATGGAAAAGAGCTTGCAAGCGCACATGCACCATCCTTGTGTCAGGGGCCTGCAATGCTAGCCTGCACTTACGGATTCAGGAAGTTTTAGCTGATTTCGTCTTACCTGGTTGTCGAGCAGCCAGCTGTTTCTCCAACACTCTGCTAAAAGGGAGAGAATTTGTGTGACCCATCTCTCTTTGAAGGGGCTTATTTTTCTTTAGAACTTTGTTTTCTTGGTTACCTTACAACCTCATTTATCTGTCAGCATCAAGAAGAGTTAAGATTTTTTTAGACTATCTGGCTTTTTCTTGTTGTTAATATGGGAACGACTTTTTTTTTTAAGCTTTCTACATGTTAAGCAGAAGCATAAACCCACTAGATTTTGATTCAGAAGAGAGGGGTTCACTTCCTGGCTCTCTCACTATCTGTGATCTTTGCTAGTTCACTGTTTTCTCATTTATGAAGTGGGAAGAATAGTAATAGCAATAATAATAATAATCATAATCATAGATTTGTTAATAGAATAGAGGGCTGTTTGGAGGTTTTAATGAAATAATGCATGCGAAAGCACTCTTAAACTAGAAACTGCTGTAGAATAATGATTGTTACTTTCTAAGGTGCTATTTCTTTTTTTTTTTCTGTTTTCAGAAATGATCTTCAAGACACAGAAATAAATCCAAGACAGAATCGCCGCACGAGAGAGGCCGAAAGTGCTGAGATTGAACCAAGAAATAAGCGTAATAGGAATTAGTGTGAGCTTTTACTGACTTTCTTAATGCAGTCAGAATATGGCACTTTTCATTGCCATAGATAGAGTTCATATTTATAAATGCCCAAGGAAAGATGTTAAATTGTAAATATTATGGTTTGCTTATTTTCATTCTTTTCTGCCTTTCCGGGGAAGAAAAAAGTTACAAAATATCCTCACTTGATTGGTTGCCTCCTGCCTCTAAAACATCTCTGCCTAAAAATACTGACATTGACATCCACATGTTCACCAGCTTGCACAGTGGGCAGACCCTTTAGCAGAGGGTTTGATTTGGTTTGATTTCTAAATGTCAGAATGTCCTTAAGCCAGTCTCCTTCTCTTCCATGGAGAACACAACTTCAGAAAAAATTCTTTCTTAACCTCTTTACCACAAGAAGCAGTTGAGGATTTAAGAGTATATGTATGTTTGGAAAGGCAGGATGTCATAATTCACATCCTTGGTGTGTGTAAGTACTGATGCCAGGCTACCCACATGCCTGTATTACCCCAGTACCATGGTGAGTGTTGCCAGAATTTAATGTAGCAGTTTGTTAGAACTCTGTTTACACCTTACTTGGGGTAGGATGTTATATCATAATTTAAATTCACAATAGTCACAATAACTTTGAAACATTGGGCATATTCTTCTGAAATAGCACTTAAAAGTGATTACTGTTATTGTTTCTTTTCATTTGGTCCATCAAATCTTTAACACTTTGAACCCCAGCTATTAAACAAAAAGTATGCAATAAATGGATTTTGTAAATGAAGAGATTCCCTATCAATTTTTAAATAATGTCCTTAAAACAATATCCTGTGAATAGTTGAGTACTGGCTAGAAATCATTGGAGTGGGTTGGTCAGAAATCACTGTGCAAAACATCCACCAGTTGCCAGTTCCTTCCAGAGTTCCTAATGCCTCTCTTTGGCATTTCAGAGCCAGCCTCCCACCCCACCCAACACAAACACATCAGCTTTCAAATAATGTGACAGCAAATGAGGCAATGTTAAGACAACAAGTTGATGAATGTGCCAGGTTCGACATTTGTGACTTCTCCTTTCCAAAGAATGTCTCCGTTGAGTTTGGCTTTTTGGTTTGCTTTGGGGTTTCTGATAATGTGTGGAGTCTCATTATGGCTGAGAGTTTAGTGTTTTCACCTGAAATCTGGCTGTTTGTTTTCTTTATGAGCTCCCTGAGCTTCAAATGGCTGTAGAAGAATTTATCATAATCCTTTCATCTTCTTAAAATCATGAGTGGTGCATTAAGGAAACTAAAAGCAGCACCACTCACCAAATCTGTCAGTGGATCTAATGTGAGATAAGTGAGCAATATCAAACAAAATAGAGGTTAACATTGATGTGATATCTATGTCACTGAGTTGCCAGAAATTATACTAAAAGGAAAACTGCTTGTTTCACTAAAAATTACACAGTCTGCTATAAATTAAATTGGAAGTAATTACTACTTTAATTGCAGCAAAAGGAGTTTGCAAGAGAGTGCTGAGACCTAAGACAGGAAATCAGGCACATGAATTCATTCAGTAAATATTTGTTCATCTATTTAATTACATATCAGTCACTGTGCTGGACAGTGGAAATATAAAGGTCATCGAAGGTCATCTAACACAGTGGTTCCCAGTGGGGCAGGCAGAACGATTTTGCCCCTGAGGAGACATTTGGCACTGTGCAGAGACATTTTTAGCTGTTATAACTGGAGATGGGGGTTGGGGAGGGGCGCCAATATCTATGGGTGGAGGCTTGGGATGCAGCTAAAAACATCCTACAATGCACAGGTCAACCCCCATGTATTAGTTTACTAGGGCTACCATTACAAAATACCACAGATGGGGTGGCTTAAACAGCAGAAATTAATTTTTTCACAATTTTGGAGGCTAGAAGTCCAAAATTATTAGGGTTTCTCCTGGGGCATCTCTCCTTGGCTTGCAGACAACCACCTTCTCACTGTGTCCTTGCATGGTGTTTCTTCTGTGGGCACATGTCTGTGTCCTAATCCCTTCTTACAAAGACACCGGTCATACTGGATCAGGGCCCACCCATATGACCTCATTTTACCTTATTTACCTATTTAAAGACCCTATCTGTAAATACAGTCACATTCAGAGTTACTGGGAATTAGGACTTCTAATATATGCATTTGTGAGAAGGGCACAATTTAGCTCATAACACCCCCACAATAAAGAATTAACCAGTCTAAAATGTCCATGGTGCCAAGATTGAGAAATCCCAATGTAAAGGAATTCCCAAGTCTACCTGAAGAATGAGGCCTAAAGAGCATTTTTTTGAGCTCTATATGTTAGCACTTAGCATACATTTAATATTCACACATTTAAAGAAGGACATTTTTATATCCATTTGACAAAGATAAAGGAACTCAGGGTAAGTGTTAGATCCAGAATTGAAACCGATAAGCTTCTGATTCTGAAATTCACCTTTTAGTGAAAATCCAGTCCTCACCAAACTTAATCATTCACTGGTTATTAATTCTTTCCACGTCCTAACTCATCCCCCAGGGTATAACAACTCCCACCAGTTATGTCAGCTCGTAATGGCATTGGTGCTTATGCCTTGGGTGGATGTGTGTGAGCTGCTGTGTGTGATTTAAAAAAGGACATCCAGATGGTTCTGATGTGTCAGGCTGTCCTTTGATCCTCTACTCCCATCTTTCTTCTTTCTACCCCACATTGAGGATCACTGGTCTAGTTGAAAAAAGAATGCATATGCATAAGACCCTGTGAATAATATAGGGGGATATGCCTTTAAAAATGAAATCACATGGTAAAGATCCATATGTAGACAAGACAGTGAGAGAAGGGTCTGTGAAGGATTTTTTTCATATTCCCTTTTCCCTGTAGAATGAGAAGAAAGCACTATCTAGACCACTGCACTAATACAGTTACTGTGGTTGAACACTAAATTTGACTGTGAGTTCCCTTAGAACCAGGGAAAACCAGAAACAGGAGATTTGAAACTTCTTAGCATCTGATAAAAGAAAGTAGCAGTTCTTCAAATGAGAAACACTTGTTCCATTATATGCTTTTTATTATAAAAATAATTGTGAACACTAGAGGGAAAAAACACAACCATTGAATTTATTACCATTTCGATAATACTTCTTTGGTTTGTAGTCTAAGTGTTTTTCAGATGTCCTTAAGAATAAACCATCAGATGTCCTTAAGAATAACCATCTGAGGCTATAAACAAGTCACATTAGCATTAACACCCATATTACTGGCTTTGTATTCCTCATCTACACTTATACCTTATAGGGAGTGTTTCCGCATGCCCTTCCCTGAAATTTCTGGGTACCCCCAGGCATTGAACTATTCAGAATACGGACACAAGCCCATGCCTGAATATGTTGCTGCTCTCTTGACAGACTCTGGCTGGGCATCTGCCCCCGTCACCAGCACTCTGTGACACGCACCAGGGCTGGTCCTGCCTTGTCTAGGACACCATCCCCATGCAGTCCCAAGATGCAGACCTGCAAGGTGCTCAGGCAGCCCTGCTTTCCTGCCCATTTCTCTTGGCCTTGCTGTGTTCCACGTGGAAATGATGAGAGAGTGCTCTCCTAGTTTGATAGTGTACCATCACCCAGACCCACAGCATCCCTCATAAGAAAAATGTGCTTCCTCTCTCTTCCCCTCTCCCTCTTTCTCCTTTCCCCTTGCTTCTTCCCCTTTCCTCTTGCCTTTCATTTCCTCCCTCTCTCATCTTCCCTCCCTCAACTATTAGGACTGTATATCATGTAGTACACAAAACAAAGACTCTGCCCCAATAGAACTTGTAGACCAGAAGGGGAGACAAACATTAATCAACTAATTACACAAATGAATTTACAATTGTGATGAGTGCAACAAAAGAGAAGTATGTGGCACTGTGAAAGCATGCAATAGAGGGATTTTGGTTTTGCCTATAAATTCACTGTGGGAAGCTTGAAAATCAGTCCAAGGAGACAGTGTTAATCACCATGTTCTTTCCTTGTCCCTTGTGTCTCCCACAATTTATATGTTCAAACTTGATGGCCAATGTGATAGTATTTAGAGGTGGGAACTTTAGGAAGTGATTAAGTCATAAAAGAGCTTGAGGGAGTGGGTTGGTTCCCTTCCACCACGTGAGCACACAGCCTTCACCTCCTCTGGAGGATGCAGCACCAAGGTGCCATCTTGGAAGCAGAGAGTAGCCTTCACCAGACACTGAACCTGCTGGTGCCATGGTCTTGGACTTCTCAGCCTCCAAAACTATGAGAGATAAATCTCTATTGTTTATAAATTACCCAGCCTGTGGTACTTTGTTATAGCAGCACAAATGGACTAAGACTTAGGAACTCATGCATATACTTCTGACTCCTTTGGTTCCAAAATACAAAATATTAGAATACTTGTGGAGGTCAACTCATGCAAATAGGTGCTTATGTGTCTGCTAATTTCCCAATAATGTCAGAGAAGCTGGACAAGTCAGAATTTCATATGACTTATCCAGGACCACCTCCATATATGTATATACACACAGTGCTTTTGTAACAAAAAAATTCCACAGTGCATTATCAATTCTCTTTAATGATTACATAATAATCCATCTGAATCATGTACCACATTTTGCCCATTCTCCTATTCTTGGACATTTATGTTACTTCCAGTTTTTTCCAGTTATATAATTTTGAAGTGGGCATCATGGTGCATATAGTTTTTCCTATATATATATTACTTCATTAGGTTCCCCAAAATGGAATTATTGGGACATTAGCTTTTTAATAAAATATATTGCCAGGTTTTCAAAACAGAGGACACCAAAATATTAAATTCTAAAGGAATTTTTTTGTGGGTTTAAAAATAATGGATATTGATCATATTGGAGCTCTTCAGTGGGAATTTCACAGCAAGTACAAAGCTTTCATATAGCTACTTCCGTTAACTATCAAAGCTTAGGGTCCAGAATTGAAGGGGACTAAGAAAAGACAACTCTATGGAGTTATAAGCAAACAAAGACCAAAAACACTTTTGGTGTTCTAACGTGATAGTACAGGTTGAATATCCCTGATTCAAAAATCTGAAATCCAA